CATGTTCTCACTCATAGGCGGGTGTTGAACAATGAGAACACATGGACACAGAGAGGGGAGCACTACACACTGGGATCTGTTGGGGGAAATAGGGGAGGGACAACAGGGGGAGGGGAGTTGGGGAGAGATAGCATGGGGAGAAGTGCTAGATGTGGGTGATGGGGAGGAAGGCAGCAGATCACACTGACATGTGTGTTCCTATGCAACAATTTTGCATGTTCTTCACATGTACCCCCAAACATAAAATGCAATAAAGTTAAAAAAAAGAGAAAGACTATTTCTGGACTTTTGCACAAAGTGATACTACTATATTATACAGTTTTTCCTTTTTTTCCTGCTTTGATATGAAGCAAGAGAGCCCTGGAAGGAGGGGAAAGCAAATAAAGCAGGCATTTATCTGACCAGAAAAGCTAGGAAGATTTTACAAAGTTATTCTTCTTCTTAGTTGACAGACAAGTATTTCCCAAGAGAGCTCAACAATTGAGTGGAAAGTTCATTTGATGGATTTGTATATTGTGGTGTAAGTGAAAGCTGATGGGCTTTCAGACAGGTAAGATAGATGGGCTTTCAGATGTATCACCATTACAATCTCAGTTCAGGTGTGTGACATTGGAGGAGCTATAGAAATTATACAAATACTAGAAGAAAACCTTAGGATGACTCTCCAGGATAGTGCTCTTTCTCTGAAAGACATTGAGGAGGTTTAGAAGAATATTAACATGGGAGCAAAGGATAACACTTGTGTTTCAGAAAGAATGTTCTAGCTACACCATGAAAACAGAAGAGGGCTCATGGTGTAAGCAAGCACATCAGTTAAAACTTTAATAGTGGGAGAGAAGAGTCATCTCACTGCAAGAAGAGATATTGTAGATAGAAAGCAGGGGTTAGTCTGAGAAAAATATAGGACGTTGAGTTGATAAGACAGGTTGTGTAATATAAGGGAGAGGGAAAAATTAAAGATAAAGTTTGGTTTATAGCTTGGGAAACTTAGTGGATGGTGGTGCCATTCAATGAAAATGGAAAAGCAATTGGAGAAGTAGGTGTAAAATGAGTGGAAGTGATGAGTTCAGTTTTGAGTATGATATGTTTTATATTCTAAAATATATCTAAGTTGTGATATCAATAGTCAATTGAATACTCCTGTCAGGAGCTTTGCATAAATCTGGGCTATAGACACAAATGTTGTTGGGTAACCTAGCTGTTTGGTCACTGAGGATAATTTAATAACTGTTTTTCATTTTAATAATGTTTTCATTTTAAAAATACTACGTCTAATATTTGACCCCATCCCCAAAATAATCTAGTATTCTTTGGTTGATGACTATTTATTATTTCATGGGAATTATAAGAATACAAGCTGTTCTATAATAAAAAGCCATGGAATAGCAAGATTAAAATGTGTCAGATATAAGAATCTTAGGAATTGTTGTTACATCAGAAGGCTAATCTTTGGCAAATATATTACAATTCGTGGTAGTTCTTTGGTACTCACCTGATCAAATACAACTCTTTATTCCATGGGTAGATATTTAAGACTGGCCCAATCCCAATCATGTGGTTGTGACATTCCCCAACATCTTCAATATATTCATGCTTTAATGGCACTTTACTGAGGAGTTCAAATTCCTCAGGTGCCTTTTGAAGAACCTGTTGTGCTGCATAGAATCCATCTACTAGCAGTGTCCTGCCACCAGTTCCTTCATGTTTAAGACAGTGAAACACTTGAATGCTAAAGAGGGAAAAGAAAATTATTCTGTTCAGTGGAAAAGAAAACGTATTAAAATTCTAGAAATTATATATAAAATGATTACTGAACCTACTTGTCATTTTCTTTACATGATTAAATAAATCACATTTTCTAATTGTTTTTCCCTCATAGGCAGTTGTACTTTTTTGTGTTTTGAAACATTAATGTCTCTAGAGGTTTCTTCTAAATATATCTAACATATATAGAAGCTTATATGTGGGAGGATCAAAGATGGCCAAATAGGAACAGCTCCGGAGTCCAGTTCCCAGCAAGAACAATGCAGATTGTGAGTGCCCACTGCATTTCCAAACAAATTTTCATTGCCCACAGACCAGGAGCTTCTTGGGCTGAAAAGTGCCAAACTCACACAAATCTGGGTGGCTGATTCAACTGGCACCTGGCATGCCTGGGAGACAGAGCCACCCATTCAACTGAAAAGGAGGGGGCAGAAACAGGGAGCCAGGTGATCTGGCTTGGCAGGTACCACCCACACAAAACAAGCAATCTGAAATGCTCTGGATTGAGAGTTTTGCAGCAAGCACAGCTGGACCCAGGACAGCCCAGCTCATGGGGAGAAGTGCTACCACTACTACTGAGACAGTCTGCCATTACTGAAGCAGTTCACACAGCAGCTGGGCAGAGCCTGCAGCAGCTCAGCAACGCCTCTGCTGGCAGACTGTGAGTAGATTACCCCGTGCTGGGCAGGGCATCTATGAAAAAAAGCAGCAGAACCACAGGAACTTATAAATAAAGCCAACCATCCTAGGACAGAACACCTGGGAAAAGAGGAGACGGAGCTCCCAGCACAGCACTTGAGCTCCTGTAAGAGACAGACCATCTCCTCAAGCAGCTCCCCAAACCCCGTATACCCAAAGACACACCTCATAAAGGAGAGCTCAGGCTGACATCTGGCAGGTACCCTTGTGGGACAAAGATAACAGAAGAAGAAACCGGCAGCAACCCTTACTGTTCTGCAGGCTGCATGGGTGATCCCGAGGCAAGCAGGGCCTGGAGTGGACCTCCAGCAGTCCTGCACCAGGGGGCCTGACTGTTAGAAGCAAAACTAAGAAACAGAAAGAAATAACTTCATCATCAACAAAAAGGATGTCCACTCAGAGACCCCATCCAAAAGTCACCAACTACAAAGACCAGGTAGATAAAGCCACTAAGATGGGAAGAAACCAGCACAAAAAGGATGAAAACACTAAAAACAATAAGGCCTCTCCTCCTCCAAAGTATCACAACTCATAACAAGCTACGTATCAAAGATGGATGGAGAATGAATCTGATGAATTGACAGAAACAGGCTTCAGAAGGTGGGTAAAAACAAACTTCTCTGAGCTAAAAGAACATGTGCTAACCCAATGCAAAGAAACTAAGAACCTAGAAAAAAGGTTAGATGATATGCTAACTACAATAAACAGCTTAGAGAAGAATATAAACGACTTGATGGAGCTGAAAAACACAGCACAAGAACTTCATGAAGCATACACAAGTTTCAATAGCTGAATTGACCAAGAAGAAGAAAGGATATCAGAGATTGAAGATCAACTCAATGAAATAAAATGAGAAGGCAAGAATAGAGAAAAAAGAGTGAAAGGAAATGAACAAAGCCTTCAAGAAATGTGGGATTATATGAAAAGACCTAATCTACATTTGATAGGCGAACCTGAATGTGATGGAGAGAATGAACCCAAACTAGAAAACACTCATCAGGATATTACCCAGGAGAACTTCCCCAACCTAGCAAGGCAGGCAAACATTCAAGTCCAGGAAATACAGAGAACACAACAAAGATATTCCTCAATAAGAGCAACCACAAGGCACATAATCTTCAGATTCACCAGGGTTGAAATGAGGGGAAAAATGCTAAGGGCAGCCAGAGAGAAAGGTTGGGTTACCCACAAAGGGAAGCCCATCAGACTCACAGCGGATCTCTCTGCAGAAACCCTACAAGCCAGAAGAGAGTGTGGGCCAATATTCAACATCCTTAAAGAAAATAACTTTCAACCTAGAATTTCATATCCATCAAACTAAGCTTCATAATTGAAGGAGAAAGAAAATCCTTTATGGACAAGCAATTGCTGAGAGATTTCGTCACCACCAGGCCTGCCTTACAAGAGCTCCTGAAAGAAGCACTAAACAAGGAAAGGAACAACCAGTACCAGCCACTCCAAAAACGTTCCAAATGGTAAAGACCATCGACACAATGAAAAAAATGCATCAACTAATGGGCAAAACATCCAGCTAGCATTAAAATGACAGGTTGAAATTCACACATAACAATATAATCTTAAATGTAAATGGGCTAAATGCCTCAATACAAAGACACAGACTGGCAAATTGGAAAAAACGTCAAGACCCAGCGGTGTGCTGTATTCAGGAAACCCACGTCACATGCAAGGACACACATAGGCTCAAAATAAAGGGGAAGATTTATCAAGCAAATGGAGAGGAGAAAAAAGCAGTTGCAATCCTAGTCTCTGATAAAATGGACTTAAAACCAACAAAGATCAAAAGAGACAAAGAAGGGCATTAAATAATGGTAAAAGGATCAATGCATCAAGAAGAGCTAATGATCCTAACTATACACACACCCAATACAGGAGCGCCCAGATACATGAGACAAGTTTTTAATGACCTACAAAGAGACTTAGACTCCCACACAATAATACTGGGAGACCTTATCACTCCACTGTCAATATTAGATAGATCAACAAGACAGAAAATTAACAAGGTTATCCATGACTTGAACTCAGATCTGGACTAAATGGACCTAATAGATATCTACAGAAATCTCCACCACAAATCCACAGAATATACATTCTTCTCAGCACCACATCACACCTACTCTAAAATTGACCACATAATTGGGAGTAAATCACTCCTCAGCAAATGCAAAAGAACGGAAATCATAACAAATGTCTCTCAGACCACAGGGCAATCAAATTAGAACTCACAATTAGGAAACTAACTCAGAACCGCACAGCTTCATGGATACTGAACAACTGGCTCCTGAAAGTCGACTGGATAAACCATGAAATAAAGGCAGAAATAAAGATGTTCCTTGAAACCAATGAGAACAAAGACACAACATACCAGAAACTCTGGGACACATTTAAAGCAGCGTCTAGAGGGAAATTTATAGCAATAAATGCCCACATGAGAAGTGAGGAAAGATCTAAAATTGACACTCTAACATCAACATTGAAAGAGCTACAGGAATAAGATTAAAAAAACTCAAAAGCTGGTAGAAGACAAGAAACAATGAAGATCAGAGCAGAACTGAAGGAGATACAGACACAAAAAAACCTTCTAAAAGTCAATAAATCCAGGAGCTGCTTTTTTGAAAAGATCAACAAAATAGACAGACCACTACCCAGATTAATAAAAAAGAAAAGGGAGAAGAATCAAATAGATGCAATAAAAAACAATAAAGGGTATATCACCAATGATTCCACAGAAATACAAGCTACAATCAGAGAAGACTACAAACAACTCTATGCACATAAACCAGTAAACCTGGAAGAAATAGATGAATTCCTGGACACTTGCACCCTCTCAAGCCTAAACCAGGGAGAAGTTGAAACCTTGAATAAACCAATAACAGGGGCTGAAGGTGAGGCAGCAATTAATAGCCAACCAACCAAAAAAAGCCCAGGTCCAGACAGGTTCACAGCCGAATTCTACCAGACATACAAAGAGCAGCTGGTACCATTCATTCAGAAACTATTCCAAACAATACAAAAAGAGGGAATCCTTCCCAAATCATTTTATGAGACCAACATCATCCTGATACCAAAACCCGGCAGAAAACTTCAGGCCAATATCCATGATGAACATAGATGAAAAAATCTTCAATAAAATACTGGCAAACTGATTGCAACAGCACGTCAAAAAGCTTATCTATCATGCTCAAGTAGGCTTCATTGCAGCGATGCAAGGCTGGTTCAACATATGCAAGTCTATAAATGTAATCCACTACATAAACAGAACCAAAGACAAAAACTACATGATTATCTCAATAGATTCAGAGAAGGCCTTTGACAAAATTCAACAGCCCTTTATGCGAAAAACTCTCAATAAACTAGGTATTGAAGGAACATATCTCAAAACAACAAAAGCTATTTACGGCAAAACTACAGCCAATGTCATACTGAATGGGCAAAAACTGGAAGCATTTCCTTTGAAAACTGGCATTAGACAAGGATGCCCTCTCTCACCACTCCTATCCAATACAGTATTGGAAGTTCTAGCCAGAGCAATCAGGCAAGAAAAAAAAAATAAATAAAGCGTATTCAATTAGGAAAAGAGGAAGTCAAATTGTCTCTATATGCAGATGACATGATTGTACATTTAGAAGATGCTATCATCTCAGCCCAAAATCTCCTTAAACCAATAAGCAACTTCAGCAAAGTTTCAGGATACAAAATCAATGTGCAGAAATTACAAGTATTCCTATACACCAATAACAGACTAACAGAGAGCCAAGTCATGAGCAAACTCCCATTCACAATTGGTACAAATAGATTAAAATACCTAGGAATACAACTAACAAAGGATGTAAAGGACCTCTTCCAGGAGAACTACAAGACACTGCTCAAGGAAATAAGAGAGGGTAGAAACAGATGGAGAAACATTCCATGCTCATGGTTAGGAAGAATCAATATCGTGAAAATGGCCATACTTCCCAAAGTAATTTATAGATTCAATACTATCCCCATCAAGCTACCAATGACCTTCTTCACGGAACTGGAAAAACTACCTTAAACTTCATATGGGACCAAAAGAGAGCCTGCATATCCAAGACAATCCTAAGCTAAAAGAACAAAGACAGAGGCATCATACTACCTGATCTCAAACTATACTACAAGGCTACAGTAATCAAAACAGCAGGTACTGGTACCAAAACAGAGATAGATATAGACCAACGGAGCAGAACGGAGTCCCTGGAGGCAACACCACACATCTACAACCATCTG